TCACTCTTTGCCTTTCATCTGGACTTCAGGATCTGTCCTTGGAGACAAATAAGAATACAGAGTTGATGTATGGGGAGAATGCCTCTTAAAAAGCATCACTCTTTTTGAGTAATGATGATCAAGAATGAGGAAAATTGCTGTGAGACTTGGAGGAGGAGTTATTGTCACTCACATCCCAGTAATAATCAAAGCTGATGGCAATTTGAGACTAAATAGGCTCTTGGGGGTCAGCTACACAAAACTAAATTTAACAATATTCTTATTTGCAGAATGCTAATTTCAACAATAGAGAATGCCCTTCATTCCAGAAAATAGAAAATGCCTGTTTCCTGAATTACTCCCATGAGTGGTTTCTCTTCAAGGAACCAACCTAAAAGATGTTCTACCCTTATACATTCAGAGTCCTTTTACATTTCCACTAGTCCCCTCTACTAAAGACAGTTTAGATTTATGAATCAAGTTAAACAAGGACATATGGTGAAGTCCTTTCTTTATCTAGCTTATTGGGGAGGGGTGTGTATGTGTATAAGGATCTGGAGGTCAAGGGAAGGGACTGAACTTGTGTGAAGATCTTAAAAATGAGGACACCAAGGCAGCTATTCATCTGATTCAAGGTTCTGACTGCAAGCTCGCTCTTTTTGCTATGCCAAACTGCCTTGCTAGGTGTGTGGTGGTTGGACTTGCGCAAGTCTGGTTCCCAGCTATGAATCCTTTGGGAACTCTTCTCCTTGTTCCAAGTTTTGTTTTCTGTGTTGTACATCCTAATCCTCTAGCTGATCACCTTCTGAATCCCTCCTTGTCCCCACTCCCACCCTCCCCTTTTATATCATTCTGTTTGCAATATTCGACTCAGGCCCTGCTCTTGGTATAGCTTTGAACCTCCTCAAACGTCTTCTCTGTCCTCTGACTTGTGGCTCTTAGCATTGACTCTACCTTTCATTTGGCACTTGCATCATGCTTTCTATTACTTGTTACCTCTCCTACAGTTCAGGTCTTAGTTGGATCCTGAACTAGACTGTAGGACCCTAAGGGCATGGATGTTGTCTTAAGCCTCTACTAAGGCCTCTACTTCAAGTATAGGACTTTGCAGAGAGTAGGAGCAAAATAAACACTTGCTGTTACAGTCATGAATGAAACTGCAATCATATCCTTATCTCATTCTCTCCACTGTTAATATGGAAATAACTATTTGTTTCATCAGAATTCCTACAAAAGGGCTAACTTCTGGTAAATAAAAGTTTTCCAAGACATGAATGAGTAATGGAGGTTTAATTTATTCCAATATTCCCAAGAACAACTTCTTTGCTTTTCCACAGGGGGCTGCCTTTTTACTGTTAGGGAAGTATGTAGGGATTTCCGGGCAGGCTACATGGGAAGGTGTTTTATTCAGAGGTGTGTGTACTCCCCTTGTGGAGGAGGCAGCAAGGACCATCTTGCTCAGTCCTGTCACAACTGATGCCACCACCCTTTCTATGCCTCTCTGGCCCTTCCCCTCAGTTTCTTGGTCCCACTTGGTTCTTCCTACCTGCAGTGCTTGCTTCTCTCTGTCCATGCAACGTGAAGCCACGTGGGGCTGGCGTGGTCCCTGCACCCTTGCTACCCCTTTCCAGAGTATTCCAAGAAGAGGAGACTCACAGTTAATCTTGACTTTTCCTCTACATGCCTCCAATAATGACTGGCTTGGCTCAGTCACTTCCTGGGTATTTTCCCACAACAGATACCTTTTGGGTAACTGTAAAACCCAGGTCAGCCTTTGTTAACCAAGACGATCCACTTCATTAACTTTCATTATGTTCCCATTATTTCCAATAAATTTCTTTCCAAAATACGACTTACAAGAGACATAACCACCATCAATTAACTTTTTTTTTCATCTATTTAGTTCCAGGAATTGGATTTCCTCATAGGAGTCATTGCCCAACTTCAGGTCTAAACAATTTAAGGCAAAGCTTTTCAATCTGACATGGGTTTTAAGAGAATAGGTCCCAGTTTTCTCTGCAAATAATCTGAGATACGTGCTCCACACAGCTTTTTTCGCTCCTACAGAAAGGGAAAATTAGTGATTGAACCTCAGGGCCCTTTTCTCTGGGCTCCACTCCCATACCCCCACCCCCTCAGTAGCAGCTTTTTAAATTAGGCAGTCTTTTGCATTTTACAGTCTCAAACCATTCATAGAAATATCCCATTTTGCCTTCTAAAAGCCAAGTAATAATGTAAGAATACTTTGGTAGTGAAATGATATTCAGAGCTCTGATTTAAATAAGGGGGAGGGAAAGCTGTTAGTTTCAGATCCATCCTTGGGGAGAGGGGTGGGGAGTGCATCTTTAGGAAATTATGGGAGAGAATTGTCTCATTTAGAAATCATTCAAATTTCTTTCTGACATGTCAAGCTTAATATCAATGGTCCATTTTCCTTTTTCTTTGTGCCGCCCTCAGAATTCTTCCTAAGAAGCTAACTTTAATCTGTTTTGTTTCAAGGCTGTATTAGATTAACCTCTTTTTCTTTCCTTTAGGAATGACTGATGAGCAAGCAGAAATTAAATTTGAAATATATTCTTCTCTGTACAGTGGATTTTCTCAGGCCCACTAGAACTTCCTGGCAATATGAATGGGATCTCCTGTAAAGCCTTTATTTTGTGCTGTGTTGTGGTGGCCAGGAAGACAAAATTGTTTTGGGCCACATTTTCAATAAAAATACCGGGTGTTATAAATTTGCTCTTCTGTCCCTGCAGGGTGAGATTTCAATGTTCTTGAAGTCTAGAGTCTTGGAAAGAAGACAAAAAACATTCAAAGTCCTGAGGACAAAGGAATTTGATGGGAAACACTTCTGATACTTGTAGAATTCAGAACTAGAAGGGTCCAACTGTTAGGTAGACATGAACAGCTAGGGAAGGGGGAGACAAGGTTCAAGGAAAAAACTGCCCAAACTCTGCCCAGGTATGGGGTTGCATATAAGACAATAAAGACTTTGCAGGGAGATAACTTCTTTGGCGATTGGAACCAGGCTAAACTGGTCCCAACCTGATCCCAACGTGGTTCCATTGAACAAGACTAAGAACCGCTCAAAACACACTTCATCATAATCTCATTAAAATAAAATTGCAGTTTTGCTCCCTGCCATGGGCTTTTCCATGTGTATTTTTGGGAAAAACAATTCCCAAGAGGAATGGGTGTATAACTAGAGCTGTCAATCAAATGATTCACCCTGTCAATCAAAGATGTGCCTCCTGGCTAGGTCACAAAAAGTAGACTCTTCCTTAAAAGTTTGGGGCCTTTGTCTACCTTGACTCTGGCCCTCTCTTCCCTTGGAGTGCGTTCAAATAAAACTTTTGCTCTGCTTCGCTATCGTGTCTCTATCTTTCAATTATTTGTTGCCGTGGAGACAGGAACCCTGGAGAACAAACTCAACCTGTAGCACAGGTGTATAATTTAAGTCATTCATGCTAAAGATCAGAAAAATGAGATGTGAAACTAGTTAGTGGTGAAGCCCGGCAGTATATTCAGGTCTGGTGACGTTTCACTGTGCACACTTTCTCTAACGCACCCTCCTCTGAGTGCAGGCACTAGAACCTATGATTCAGTTTCCTTCAGCCTGTTCAAAACTTTAATCAATTATTCCCCTCTACAGGATGTTCCCTCAAGGGTCCCCCAATACCATAGTACATTGTTTTCTGACCTCCATTTTTAAAAAATTTTCTTTCGCTTTGGTTGCTTTAACTTACTAAAAGCACTGATACATTATTCAGGCAAAGGTCTGAATAAAGAGCAAGGTAGTAGATTTCAAGGTCATGATAAAGATGATGCTGTTGATAATGGTAGCACATGCATCCCCATTGTTCTTTCCTGCATGCGAAGCTCTTCTGATTTCATTTTCTCAGCCTATCATCACAACCCTGGGAGGTAAGTTGGGTTGATACTATTTTTCCCACCTTACATGGAACCAAGTCTTGGATAAGGTAACTGAGGTGCCTGAGGACCCCACTCCAAGGAAGGAGAGGAAACAAGGGCTCACAGATGCATTTTAGGACTCTGGGCTCAGGACTGTACTGCTTCTCTGGAATGCAGCCTGATCAGAGGGCGAGTCAAAAGGTACCTCCCTGCCTGGTAGGACAGGGTGATTAAACTATCAGACAGGTTCTGGATAAACCTAAGGGAAAAACAAATAGTAACAGGTCAGTAAAACTTGGGAAGAGTTCTGTGAAGGAGATTATGTAATCTCTCTCTTAATAGAGGGTTTACCTGAAGCAGCAGGTTCCTAGTTATTCCCTGAAGCCTTTCAAAGTGTGTTTCCACAAGACAATTTGGCAATATGAATCAAAAACATTAAAGACATGACTAATAGTAATCCTGGGCAATTTACTCAGTGTCTTCAACATCAGTTTCTTCATCTGTAAATAATAGGGTTTGAGGGAGAATTAAATGAATAATGTAAGAACCCCAGCACAGAGAGTACATTCAGTAAATATGGCCAGTGTTTAATGAAGTAAAATTTCTATGTGTACAAGGAAATAAGCACAAAGATTTAGCAGTAAAGATGTTCTTAGCTGTGTTTTTATATAAATAATAATGAAAAGTTGAGAACAACCTAATGTCTAGCAATAGGGGATTGGTAGAACAGGGCCTCCTGTTACATCTAGGTGCTTGACTATTAGACAATCATTTAAAAGGTTATAAAATATGTCATTACATGATAAGATGTTTGTGATTCATTGTATTTTAAAGAGCAAGTTAAAATATTGAGGACAGTGTGTTTCTTTTAAAGTGTGTATATATATATATATAATACATATATATATATGAGGTAAAATAGATAAAAATATGCATGGGTTTACAGTACTATGTTAACAATGATTGGGGAGAGATTTTTCTTATTTTTTTATCTGTTTTAAATTTTTAAACCTTTTTTTTCCCAACAATGAACATGACACTCATGTGAAAAAAATATATATATATATAATTTTTAAATTCCAGGTTTTCTTGTCTCCCCTTCTCTTCCTCAGTTTATCCGATCTGTGGAGCAGGGCACTAAGAAGAGATGGCATTCACTAAACCCACAGGAAATAAGTGCTTTCCGAGTACTCACTCCAGGCCACGTGCTGTCCCGGGCACTGGACTTAGAGGTAAATAGGACGGACAAAGCTGCCCTCAAAGAGCTTCTCTTTGAGAGGAAGACCCCCAAATAAACACATAAGAAACGGGAGTAGAAGGTCATCTAGGCGGGGTGTTCCTGGGGGAGGGACCCCTCCCAGCCACAAGGGTTCCTGCTCCTCCAAACACGTTGCAGTCTGACATATCACGTTCTTTATTTGGATAAAGGCTGTTTATCTCTTATTAAAGTGCATGATCTCCTTTGCTATCACATGCTGTGTCAATATTGATAACTTAAACCTGAGTATGAGTCATTTCCTGAGAACAGATCATCGGGCCTTGAAGGGTAAAGGGGAGGAAGGGAAAGTACACGGAGGAAAGTACACAACGGGGTGAAGGCGTCTGATTTCAGAACCTGGCCACCTTCGCAAAAGTAGGGACGTGAGGCGGGGGTGGGGCAGGCTGTGGCCTGGCAGGAGACCCCGCAGTGGAGACACTGCAGTGGAGAACGGACATGTGAGTGGGTCAAACTTCCTGCACTTATTTTAAGTTTCCACTGGCTTATCTTGGCCCCAGCAGCTTTTCCATAGATCCGAAGAAAGATGTCACCTTTCCTTCTCCCACTGCTTCCCTTCTGTTGTTCAGAAGTGAGGTCCTCTTTTAAGTGTCGTTTAAATGTTATCTATGCCATTAAGGCTGGATTCTCAGGATTCCCTGACACCACTTTATTAGATGACATTTCTTGGATTAATTTTTACATCGTGTTGTAGTTATAAACGTAGGCACTTCTCTAATAAAAATAGGTGATCACAAAGGACAGGGTTTATGTTTATGGATCTTATATGCTTCAACAACAAATTTAAGCAGATACATAAACAGTTACTGTTCATGCTGGTACAGTTTGGGGTTCCTATCAGGTGCTTGATAAGCATTTATTGAATGAGCAAATAAGTGTAAAAGTTGCTACATATGGTGCCACTCAGCCATCCACCCTGGGATTTCACTCAAGAGCAAGTTACCAAGGCAACAGCCAGACTGGCTCCCCTCCCGTTGCTGTGCTCCATCCTCACCCTCACCTCTGGGCCACAACACTGGGCAAGAGGGGAAGCCTGGGTCCAAAAGTCTTTGAGCTAAGGGGCTGGTGGTTAACTAAGTGGTGGGAAAGACCATCCAGCTACTAATCTCACGGGCTCCAAGGGGCCAATGCCGCCTAACTGTGTGATGATTTTGTACAGATCAAAGGGATCTTTGATTTCTTTAAGGGAAGGGGAGAGTCAGGAGAAAATGGATTATGCTTGTATGGCAAGAAATTTCAAATACCAGTGAGGCGTTTAACAAATGAGCTGAATTTCATACGTTTCAGTTGCATGCCTGTGAGGAGTGTTTTTCTCCCCTACCCAGACACAGTTGTCTTTAAAAGCTCTTGAACTCCAGCAAGCAGAGAGGCTTGAGCTTCTGGTGTGTATATTTATAGACCATTAGAGACCTGAGTGCGATCACAATAATTCCTGGAGCGTATATCCTCACCTCCCATAACCTAAATAAACTTCGCCCAGCAGCGTGGGTTTCCTAATTCCTTCCGCGCCCTGGCCATATCCGCAGCCCTTCATTGCTTCCCTAGCAACTTGACAGCAGGGGGAGTGGGATGGGGAGGCTATAAAAGAAACCACACTAAGGGAAGTGAACTACAGCAAAGCTATGTGGCTGGCAGGATTGGCATAGCGAGAGGATGGAGGGGCTTGGTCTCACATGGACTATTTTTGTATTTCTCATTGTAATGCCTATGTTAGTTCTCATAACGGCACTAGAGGGACAGAGTTGAGCATGGGTAACTTCCAGCTTTTCGAAAGATAGTTCAAAGAAGAACAAAGAGCGAAGAGTGACTTTTTCCTAAATCATGAGCTTTGACCAAACTTCTTTTTAGATACTTTGCATTTTTATTGTTATTTTTTATTTCCAGTAGTCCAGTGGTATGGGCACCAGGCAACATTCGCAGAGGAAGTGCAGTTTATTATGTTGTAAAAGGTCCAGTGATAATATATGGTATTGTGGAGGCTTCCAGTCCTACTCACTGCAATTTCCTTCTACTTGAAGCCGTATTTTATTTCTTCGTTAAGGTCCTTTGTTGTTGTCTTTTAGTTGCCCATCAAGAGTGAATAAATTATAGAACACACACGTATGGAGGATCATGCAACATTTTTCAACAGTTATGCAAAAATAATTTCCTTTAATCATTCAACACAGATTGCGCATGAACTGTGTTCCAGGCACTGATCTAAGTCTTTGGAATACTGAACAAACAGATGAAAACCTTTGCTTACATTCTAGTTGGGGTAGAAACGATGCTAAACACTGTAAATTAAGAAAACTACACTATGTTAGAGGGTGACAACTGCTGTAAGCAAAATAAAGTAGAGGTAAGGGGAGGGAAAATGGGACATAGGATTTTAATTTTAAAACAAGGTTTGGATTTTAATTTTAAAATAGGGTTTTCAGGGTGAACCGCACTGAGAAGATGACATCGGACCAAAGGGAAATGAGGGACAGAGTCATTTTGAAACCCATGCAAAGGCATTCAGACAGAGGAGGCCGACTCTTGCTAAGGCCCTTGGCTGGGGCAGTGCGGCTGATGTGTCTGCAGAGCTTGAGCAGCTGTCTGAGACTCTGGCTGCAGCTCAGAATGCACTAGGAAAGGAGTAGGGGGCGGTGGGGGGCTCCAATGAGACGCTGGTGCAGGGCTGTGGGGAAGGGGAAAGGCTTTGACTTCTAGGCAAATGGGAATGTTTAGAGGACTCAGGTGGAGAAGGGACATATGTCTTTTGTTTTAGAAAAATACTAAAGAGGATGGGAAGGCCGTCTAGGAGTGTACCAGAGTAATCCAGGCCAGCGCTGCTGCTGCTCAGACCCGGGTGGTGACCGTGGGAGGGGTGAGCAGTCAATTCTTGATGTATTATGGAAGTGTTGCTGATAGGCTCCTGGTGGGTTGGATGTGGAATTAAAAATAAAATCTCAATATGATATGCATATGCAGGTTTGCTTGGTTATACTGAAGTATGGTGGATAGAAAACATACTAAACTGTTAATAATAGTTACTTGGAGGGCAGGGAAAGATGGGAGAGGAGGAGAGTTTTGGCTTTATAGGTGTAAGTTTCAACGTTTGGCCTTTGCAAATTGCACTGCTGCTGTTTGCCGTTCAAAAGCAAAAATCAATAGCTTACTGGTACAGAGGTTGTCCCGGATGTTCCTGCATCTTGCCCTCACCTGGATTTAAATATCGGCACAGCTCACTGAGCGACTATCTCTGGCTGTTCCCCAATCCCAAAAGCAAGGCTCTGGGAGTCCAGGACGGTTTCCCCATTTGCCAGACTGCTTGGCACTGCAGGGAATGATGTGTACCCTTTGGCCCCACATATATTAAATACAAGTAAAGAGAAAATATAGCTTCTTTTTCCACATTTTTGCTGCCTCTGGTGGCACTGGGTGGCTCTACAGGAATGCCTCTAGCTTTACGCCTGTGGCTACACAGTTGTTCGATAATGGTGTTATTAGCACAGAAAGAAGAGTGAACCCTGATGCACCCCAGCCTTGAAGCCAACCTTTCCTTCCCTTGAAATATCTTTCTTACTTTTTCTTTTCTCTCTCTTCTTAGCTCTTGCAGGGTCTGAAGCAGAGAGGACAGTCAGGGGAGACAGTGTGGCTTAGTCCTGTGGCCGCCCTCCACAAGCATTCCCGCCTGGCTCACAGAATTACTATCATGGTGAGAGGAAGGCATGGCTGCTAAGGGGCCAGGAGTTATGTAGCCTCTGTTCATCCCATTCCTGAGGGCGAGTGTGGGAAGTCATGGAGGGCCAGGGTGCTATCCACATTCTGCATAAAAATATGTCCAGTGTGCTTCAAAATATCTGTCACTCACACAGAGATGCCTGCGTAGCCTCACCAAGGAGCCTTGGAAGGAACTCTGAAGTATCTGCTGAGAAGGGCTTCCTCTCTCCTGTCTCTCCTAGTGGCAATTCTAGAGAGTAAAGGTCTTTGTCTTCTAGGCCAAGATCTTGGCTTTCTACATTTTTGCATCAAATTTTGCTCTGTGTTCGGCTTATTTTGCTAAATGCAAACTTGAATGAGGCACTCAATCTCACCTCCCATGAGTGCACGATCCTTCAGGGCACAGGGTGCACATCACACCTGGGGGATAGTTCTGGCTTCCCTTGTCATCAGGTGTTGACTGGCCTCCATCAGACTTCCGAAACCTTCCAGGTCCCGCCTGATCAATGTCAATTGTCTCATCTTTCAGCGGAGGATTCCCCAGTGAGGTCCCCTTTGACACGCTTGACCCTTTTCCCAAGTAGTCGGAGCTCAGTCTGTGATGAGTTAAAACACTTCCTATTACGATTGTAAATTACTTCTATTTATTTTTGTGTGCCTTTTCAAAAGATGTTCAGTTACTGAGTCTGAAGCAAACTCTTTGGAAGTTCTCAAGAGCTGTGTCTTCAGACTTCAGTTTGCAGAGCACACTGGCGTGGCTCGCCTGCAATGCTTTGTTTTCTACACACTAGTTTTTCTACACACTAGTTTTCTTTTCTCTTTTTGTCCTTTTAGTTGTTGCCAAATCCCTAAAAGCAATGTTCCCCCAGCTTCTCCTATGTTTGACAAGCTCCTAATTTCTTCCCTCAGCTCTCTTTTGATGTTACTTCTGTTTTTATTTTTTTCCTTAATTGTAAACATTAGGAGAAACATTCGAAGTGATTCCTTTCCCCATCCATCCTAACTGAGGGCATATTTCCCCTGTACAAAAATAAAGTTAACCTCTATCCTGAAGAGTATGTTCCCTGATTTGAAAGCTCAGGGACCCTCCCACACTGCTTTGGTTTATCCACTGAAGGGCTTTGAACCATGCCCTGGGGCATAATTGATTTTGACTTTGATGTTTTCTCATTAAATAGTCCATTTGTTTATTGACCCAACTCTTCCACTACACATCCCTCTGATTGTTCCAACTTACTGCCTTGGATCTTAGCTCTATAGTTAATCCTT